GTGCTGTTCCACTGTTGTATTATGTCAAAATTAATCAAAATGGAGGAACAGTTATGATTTACAAGTATGCCAATGTTTTGTTTCAGTGGATCTTCTGTATTGACTGTAAGTCTATGAGCAGTAAGACCGTACTGTCTGGAATGTGCGACTTACGCAAATACCGTCCATCCCATGCTATAATAATAACACAGCTGGATTTGTGGCAATTTTCTCTAAGATTGTCATCTATTATATGTGTATAAAGCTTAAGAATGACATAATAGGAGCACAAAAGCGGCAATGAGGAAGAGGAAAAGCATAGAGAGAGCTGCTAGACCGGGGAGTCACGTGACACATAGCTGCCAATGGGATTGGATTGTATTGGCCCATTCGTTGTCAATGGACAAATAAACAAAATATAAATGTCGATTATAAAGATACTATAAAAGATATCAAGATGGTAGCTGAACGTCTCACGAGTTGAATAGAGTTGAAATGACGTTTCTAGCCCAAGGTATGCCGGAGATATTAAGCTTCCAAATTTGCCCCATTCATTTCCAAAGAGGAAAAATATGATGAAAAAAGCTGAATAGCTTAAAAAGTATAAAAGTTATACAAATTATGTATACAAGCAGTCATGTCCTTAATAAGATGAACAGTTTGATACCTCTATGGCCCTTCTAGGTGAAAGTATGCTGAAGGAGTTAGGTGCCAAAGAACAGCGGCGGAACCCAGAATAATAAAGAAGATAACAAGAGTGTGGCTGCTCGCATCCACACTAATAAAGAACAGGATAACATAGTGTGGATGCTTAACGCATCCACACAATAATAATAATAAATAAGAGGAAAACAGTGTGGATGCTATAACACAATAATAAAGAGGAAAACATAGTGTGGATGGTTCCACACAAAAATGCATTTCCTGAAGAAAATGCGTGTGGATGCTGTAATGCTGAAGCGTCACCCTGAAAAGGCTGAAATACCTGCAATCAATTGCTGAAACAGCTCAAGGATGAGAAGAAATGCCTGAAGTTGCTTGTTGAAATAATTGAAGGTTGTGAAAAAATGGCAGAAGTAGTTTGAAACAGCTGAAGCATGAGATGCAGTGCTGAACAAAGCCATATGGAAAACACAAAGGCAGAGGACATTTTCAACGCTATTGATTTGTTTTTGGACTCTGTGGGACTGCGTTGGTACAATTGTGTGGGGGTAACAATTGATGGCGCAGCTTCCATGACTGGAAAAAACTCAGGAGTTGTGAAGAAAATCCTGGAGAGAGTGCTGAATGCGATGTGGACTCACTGCTTTCTTCACTGAGAAGCACTTGTGGCTAAGGCTATGGTGCCAATGCTTGATACAACACTGAAAGATGCCATAAAATAGTGAACTACATTAAACGGAGCGCCAAGAACAGCCACTGTTTCACACAGCTGTGCAAAGACCTGGGATGAGAACACATCCAGTTGTTGTATCATTCAGAAGTTCACTGGTTTTCAAGGGGAAAGGTAATGTTACGCTTTTATGAGCTTAAACATGAAATCGCCGCCTTCCTCTCATACAATAACTCCCCATACACTGAGATGCTCAGTGATGAACTCTGGCTTGTGTGTGGTGTATCTTGCCAATGTGTTCAAGCACCTCAACACTTTAAACATGTCTATGCAGGGGAGAGGACACATCTTTGAACAGACTGACAAAGTCACTGCCTTCAAAAAGAAGTTGAGGTTGTGGATAAATCACTGACTAAAAACAGACTTGACATGTTTCCCAATACTTGCCATGGTGCAGGAGAGCTAAATACAGCTGCCAAAAATGCCCTGAAAATAACTATCACTGCGCATCTGACCAGTCTACATGCTTGCTTTGAGGACTGCTTTCCAGAGAAACATGACAATAGTCACTGGATAAGAGATCCCTTTGGAATTGACATTGAAAGCGTTGTGTTGCCAAGCAGCAAGGAGAATCAGATGGTTGAGCTGTCATGTGACCAGATGCTGAGAAAGAAATTTGATGAGGTAAGGCTCCCCCATTTCTGGTGCAAATACGTGATGTCTGAGTATCCCTCCCTTGCTACATTTGCAGTCAAAGCAATCCTACTATTCACAACAACATATCTGTGTTTAAGTGGCTTCTCCACTTTGGTACAGCTCAAGTCAAAGCAAAGGAACAGGTTGGACACTGAACACGTTCTGAGAGTAGCTCTGTCTACTATCAGCCCAGACATTGAAAGTCTTGTCAAAACTAAAGGACAACTACAGCTATCTCATTAGTTCACTGTAAAATAAAATCTTGCTTACAT